TGTTGGAATGTCTAATATTTCTCCGTGCCATGTCCATACTGTATAACTCTTCACAATACCATATATAAATAGGTGATCACGTATTTCTCCAACTTCTTGACGTATCTGATTCAAACATCGAACACATGGACAATAATATGCCCCTTTGATGGGTTTCCCATTTTCTCTTGCAAATTGTAAGAACTCTTCAACTCCATTTCTGTACTCTTGACTAATGCGACTTGCATTCATCCAACTTCGATTCATTATCTATATATTAACACAAATTAACTGTTGACTCAGTTATTCATAATTTTTCTAACCTAAACTACAAACCTAAAAAATCGATAATAATTTCGGATAAAATCCATAAATATTTCTACTAATATGATGGTAAACTAAAGGTCAATCCTAAAAAAGTCAATATTTAATGCATCTGGAACAGCCCGTACCGAAATCAGAACGGGCCGTTCCAGATCAACAATTTACGAAGCCAGTAATTTAAGCAGAACGGGCCATTCTGCAAGGAGAACGGCCCGTTCTCCTAGGAGAACGACCCGTTCTGCACGGAGAACGGGCCGTTCTCCATGCAGAACGGGCTGTTCCAGAGGAACAAATAGCAAAAAAAAATAAAAAAATTACGTGGACAACAAACTAACCTCAAACGAATAATGTGATTATTGTTATTTAAAAATATTAGGATATTACAGCTAGCTTCACCAATCCACATGTGGAATTAGCCCACCCACTGTCTTCCAAGTACCACGCACCCTCCAGTATCTAGTTAAAGACTACATCTCTAACTAGATACCTTACTCAAATTGGTCATTCAACCATGACATGGATCGACTATTTCCATGTCGCCACACAGTACTAAGAGATTCAACTTTAAAACAACTTTCAACTTTAAAATAATTTTTCACTTATCACCTTAGTACTATGTATCTCAACATAGGACATATATCTTCACCATATGTCCCCAACTTTTACAACTTCACAACAATAGGCATATTAGCAACTTCACAACAATAGACAACTTACAACTTTAAGCAACTTACAACAATAGGCAACTCATACAATTTTAAACAACTTTTACAACAATATACTACTTCAACTTATGCATATCAATCCATTAATAATTCAACAATAAACAACATAAAAATAACTTAGTTTCACAACGTATAACAACTTTAACAACATCATATATTATAATCACTCAACATATGAACAACTTAAGCGAACAGCTACTCAATCCACAAATAACATCTTAACCATTTTCAAATAAAACAATGTATGAAGCTTCCCTAACTCTCCTAAAATTAAACAATCTACATTCTAGCTTCCCTCACATGAAGATTGGCTCATAAAGTCAAAAACTGAACAAAAGTAGAATTTCCCTTCGAGGCTCAACTCGGAACTTCAATCCTCCGAAATCAAGCTTTCTAATCTGAATTTCAAGAAATGACAGAAGACATTAGTGGTCTAGAGGAGAAAAGGATTCATACAGAGAAATTTGGGAGAAAAAGGAGCTCACTGACCCAAAGACCTTCTCTCTAAAACTTCTCTCTAAAAACTCACGTTCTCCTGAAGGCCCCTAACCCCTATTTATAGATTTTCTGGACTGTCTAGAACGGCCCGTACCGAATCAAAACGGCCCGTTCCGAACTCCCAATTCACGCACAAAACCCACACCCAGAACGGCCCGTTCTGAAATCAGAACGGCCCGTTCCGGGACTCATCCGGAACGACCCGTTCTCCCTCCGGAACGGCCCGTTCTCCTTCCGGAACGACCTGTTCCGGAATTTGGAACAGCCCGTTCTAGAACCGTTCCCAACCTAAAAATTTAGGCTAATTTAATAGCTTGAAACGGCCCGTTCCAGACTGGGAACGGCCCGTTCTGGGCTACTAAATCAGCTAAAAATAATTTTTTTTTACTATGTTACATAAAAATATCAACGATGATGAGAATTTAGAAGAGAGGAATAATATAATAATGAGTTAACATTATTTATTTTACAAAATGACCAAATTTAATATTTACTCTATAAATTATTAAGATAATTACATGGTATAAAAATGACTAAACTTAATAATTTATTGTAGAATTATTTTGAATTTTAAATTTTAAATTTTTTATTAAATCAAAATTTAAAATTAATAACTTTAATTAATTTATTTAAAATTTTGAATATATTTATTTGATTCTAAGTTTTAAAATGAATATTTGAAATTTTCACAGTATTAAAAATTAAATAAAAATCATGGTTATTTATAATTTAAATTTGAATTTTTAATAGGGTTTGTAAATTTAAAATCGTTCAAAAAAATAATGAAGAAAAATAGAAATCATTGTTAAAAAGTACTAAACTTACATATGTAGTTAAAAAGTACTAAACTTACGAAGTGTCTCGGCCCCGCTAGTAGTTAATTATTGTTTTGTCTTTAGTATGCAACATACCAATTATTGAGAAATACCCATAAAATTACCCACCATGATGAGAATTTAGAAGAGAGGAATAATACAAACCTTACACCGTGGATCCCGAATTGATAAAGCCTAATTCCGTTGGCCTTCAAGAAATCCGTTGTGGACTCTGGATACGGTTCAAGACACAAACAAACATTAGGCTTTTAAATTCTTTATTTTCTCAACAAAAAGATGAAGATGGTTGGTGTGTGAAGTCTTATAAAAGTCAAAATGAGAGAAAGCTGATGTCTGCCTTTGAGATTATATATTATCCCCACAAATGAGATTAGTCATCATAGAGGCAATCCGGCATCATTAAACATGA